AAAGCCCAAGTTCCAGGTTCTCTGGCACAAGAATCAAGAGAGAAAATTAAGCTTCATCACCATTCATGAATCACAGAATAATCTACTCTCCGTTTACACCTCTGAATAAAAACTACATGGTTGAAATGCAACGTATCTAATGATTTTTGAAAAAAAAAAGTAAAAGAAACGGTTATTTAAAAAAATCTGGGTCAAAGATCCCCCACCATAATGATTAATGAAATATTGGTTGAGTCCGACCAACAGAAAATTGATCAGTTCATCTCTAATTTAAATGAAACTTAGAAACTTTTTAAATTCTAAACTACGAATAAAAACTAAATAAATAGACAAAGTGGGATGCATTGACCAGGTTTTTTGTGGCTGATATTAATTTCAAGTGGTCTGTTTGATCTGCCCTGGATATTCAGATTTTTTTCCTAAGGAGCAGAACACAAAAACAAAAAAACAAAACAATGGTTTTGAACCAAACAACAACAAAAAAACTCTAAAAATCTTTATTGTTTTTAAATTAAACTCAGAAAAGGAAGTGAGGTTGATGGGCTTAAAAACCACAAATATCAGATTTCTGCTGCAATGAATAGAATAATGATAATAATTTAACTCAGTGCTTAATTACAACTTGCATAAGTCTTCTATTTACTCAAATGGATTTAGGATTCCCACAAAAAAAAAAACAACAACACACAAATCAATGCAATTTTGCATTTAAGTTACTTTCTGTTCTACAGATTGAAAACTCTTAATAGCCATTAGGTGTATGAAATGTGTGTCAAATAGCCAAATCCCATAATTTTATCAACAGGTCTGGCCTGACTGTCACCAATCAAAGCAAATCCTTCACAGAAAACAGCTGGAAACAACCTTGAGAAGCAGACTGCTCACATTCCAGGAGTAAATTACACAGCAAAGGAGCGTCTAATCTTTATGCTAACAGCAGCTTGAAAAAACAAAAACATATCAAACCCAAAGACACGTTACACAAAACAGGTTTCAGGTTTGGCATTAGGTCGCCAACATAAACGGCTACCAAATCCATCCATCGGCGGCACATCATTTCCTTGCGTAGATGTAATATCTTTCTCTTGCAACTTGTGTGCGCAACCGCTAAAAACAAAGTAAAACACTGAAGTCGGCGTGTTCGGACTTGGTAGTAAATCCCTTGTGGTCAAACGTCAATAATGGCAGAGCCGGGTCAGAAAGAGGCTGCGCTGTCTGTTTTAGCAATTAGGGCTCTGTGCCTCCAGGCCAGTGGAGGTCATCGACAATACTGGTGATTATCAAAAGAAAACTAGACCACCCCGGACCCGAACGGACGCCAACCGGCTCCACGCCACACTATAGGAGACTGTTGGTGAACAACAGTCAATTGCAATTGAGAACATGTCTGAGGCAAACAAAGGAAAACTTTACACAAGCTGCAAAAATTCATTTGATTAACAGCCAGCCACAGGTCGAAGGATCTTTGAGAGGGGCGCGGGGAAAATACCAAACGGCATCTTTTTTTTAAATCTTAAGCCAAGAGTCAATATAAATTCCCTCTTACCCTTCCCATCTAAAGTTTATTTTTCTTTTCCAATGCAAACCTTTGGAACCAATAAGTCTCCCTCTTTCGTTGCACATTCTCTTGGCTCTGACCTCATGGGCAGGTGAGCACATGTTTTATTTGACTATGATTCCACCACATGAACTCCTGCACATCATGTGCAGCATTAAATAGCACCTGTTCGCAGCTTGATTTACACAGAAGCACACACATAAATGATAAAACCCTGGCACAGTGGGGCTAACTGTGAGACAAAGTTCAAGAGATAGCAGAAAATTAACACGCCTTCCCCGTTGTGGGTTCAGAGAAAGCAGCCCAGTTGTTATTTGGCACACTGGAGGGAGCCGGTAGATGAAAACAGAAGTTGGACAACAGTTAAAGTACAGATTAAAACCCAACAAAGCACAAGGCCTTCTTTCTTTCTTTCTTTTTTTTAGACAAAAAAAAAAAAAAAAACAGAAGAGAAGGGAAAGGGAGGGACGCACCCTGCCTCAGAGCCACTCACAGCACATATCACATTGCTGCTGGGCTCGGTTCACACACACACTGACTGTGTCATGCAGCCGTGTAATGCCCATAACACCAGAGGTTGGTAATCTGTATAAAGTCAACAACACGTGACAAAATTCACCAAACCTGAGCGGAGTGAGGGGAGAGAAAGAAAAAAAAAGTGTGCTTCCTAAAGTCCCTTTCAGGGGGACTGAAATACCTGCTCTCACTGCCGCAACTTTCAGGTTGGGCTGGTTTGGGGCCTTCGCACGAAACAATCCATTATGAGGTGTGAGACGACGCTCTGCGAGCCTTTTAAAAGGAACTTGGCCATCATGGCCCTGCCTGAATTTCCCTCTAAAAGTATCCCACCACCCCCCCACCCAAACACCATTACCCTCACCCAACGCAGTGAAAGGTTTGGAGCAGGCAGGCAAACCGGCCACGTAGGTGTGATCATTTCCTTCAAGTCAAACCTTGCTGTGCTGCACCCTTATCTATCTGAGCGGGGGAGGAATAGTTTTCTAATTCTTGTTAGGATGACTCAACTAACATATGCTTTGAAAGATGACAACATAGCTTTCCTGACGGTTATTTTTATTTTTTATTTTTCCCCCAAATCACTCTGTACAGTGGCAAGTCACAACCAAGCAAGAGCCGGTTGCCAGAGCCTGTTCAGACCACGGTCAGAACAGGTTGTTTCAACAATGTGACATCCATTTAATAAAACGGCAGAGAAAGTGCTAGTATGACTGGACCGCTGAGTAAAGTAAGGCTATTACATTCTCCCACATTTTCTGCCAGTTGCTGCACACTGCAGGTCAGCTACCCGAAAGAAGCTTTCTATACTTTCCCCAATTCTTGCAAGGAAGACAAATTCAGCTGCCTGAAATAGCACTGTAGCAGTTTAAACGTAAAGAGCACCATCTATTATCTCATAAAGGTCACACCGCTCTGAAATTAGAAATCCTACTACAGGTTGGCTATTAGAGAAGAAGATGACTAACTTATCAGCTAAGATCAGCATGCATATATGCACGCAATGATTCTGCGGGTTTTGAAACCATTTGTGCAGCAATTAGTTGATCGTCTCCTCGTGGACACGCTTCATTTGTTACAAGATGACGCTTTGAGAATTTCTGACAATTTTTTGAGTTTTTGTTAGAATAAAACATTTTTTCATTTACCTCAACATTGGTAGATATTTTAAGACTCAAACTGATATGCTGGTAGTTAATGTTTTAGATAGCAACAGAGTTAACGAGTGACCAGATGCTGAATTAGCTCCTGCAAGAACCAGTTTCTATACAACAAGATAGTTGATCTTTCTTGAAAATTAAACAATTTAAACCACGCTAATAATAATAATAACAATAATAATAATAATACAAAAAAGGTGAACATTTCTGTCATTATAAGCAGAATATTTTGTGTTGGGGCTTTTAAAAACCCAAAATTTTATTTATGAGTAGCAACATTTTGGCTGAATGACAGAATTCTTGAAGATAAAATAACGCTTTGTTTCAACCACAAGCAGAATATCAACCCAAGAGCTTTCTTTGTAAATGTTTCAAGGCAAAATTGGTTTGGAAAACAAATAATAATTTTGGGGGGATTTTTTATTTTTTTTCCCACTGTGCAAGATTACTATGCATTAATTTATTAATTCAGGATTTCATGATGAATGCTTTAGTGGTTTTCCCACATATGTGGTTTTGGCATTGCTAAAATAATAAAATAAATAAATAAATAAAATAAAATAAAACCTCTGCCATTTTTTTTGACAAATCCTGAATATTACAAATAATTCTGACAGAAAAATGATCAAAAATGATTAAGCAAATTGTCAACTTACTTGCATGCAAAAGTAGAAGTCAACATGTTAAACCGTTTCAGCAGCAGCATTAGATCATGTTACAATGCCTTGTTTGTTCTGTGTGTGAATATTATTTTAACCCACTCTTTTCAGCTCATGGGTAAAGTTGCAACGTGGCTCCACAAAGAAGGCAACTTGCAAAGTATCTGCAGAAGATTTCATGCGTTTCGGCTGAATCGCAAAAAAATTCACATTCAAAATCCACCAGCCTGTTCTGCTGGTAGGAATCAGCTGCTCCAGCATCCACTGGAGCAGCTGTGGATCCTGAACCAGACCAGCGCCTGAAAAGACCCCCAGACTCCACATTTCCATCACAATGGACCCAGACCTCAAGTCCCGACTTTCTGTCTGAGCCTTTTCACTCTTTCAGGACCCTCCAACTGCAGCCACTTACCGCATAAAACAGATTCACGCTGTTTTATGCAGCGTGGGTCGTCTCATGTGAACTTTCGAGCGTGCAAAGCAGCACTTGGCCATATCGCCTATATTTAACCAACACGCCGTCGTGCACCCAGTGTACCGAGCAACACACTGATAAGCAGGTATAATAGGCCACCAACAAGAAGGTGTTTAGTAAATAACTTCGCATATCAGAGGAGCAGGGATTAACTCGGGCTTTTAGCACAAACTAGTCTGATTATCTTTATTAACGCCTCATATCCCCAAAAATACGAGCTAAATCCTTGCATTAGTAACGCATTTGTCCAGAGGAGCATTTTTATTAACATTAGTCAACTTCAGACACTGGGGCTAGCGAATGCTAGCTGGCGCCTCGAAGACACACAGCTCCACCATGTTGTTGTGGTGGTTTATCCAGCCGCTGCGTGTTTCCGTCGCCGACTAATTTCCTTTCATTCGTCGCTGTGAATCCCAGCAAAACAGCGAAGCGAACAAAAACAAGCGGCGCCGCGGAGGAGCAGCGAGCGCTGATTTAGAGGTCGGCGCTAGCCAGACGCGGCTACCGCGCTAGCTTAAATCCCCCGACACACACGGAGCGCCATGATGATCATCAGCGACAACAGGCAGTGCCCAGTCCGGGAAAAACACACCGAGACAAAAAAAAAAAAAAAGCCGGAGAGCCCCACTCACCGTCACCGACGGCCGCCAGCCCGAGCAGGGCCAGCAGCGGGAGGGCCGTGTGTCTTAGAGCCATGTCTTCTGAATTCCCATGTCCACTGCGAGGAAAAGCGCCCGAAGTGTCTCGTTATCAACACGGTCAGAGCTGAAACACAACCACAGTCCGACCGCACACACCACTCCACCAGATACCAGCCAGCCAGCCAGCCCGCCCGTGACGTGTTCAGAGGGGGAGGGCTCCCCCTGCCTCCTTCACTCTGCCTCCGAGGTCACGCCTGCGTGTGTGTTGGGGGAGGTAAACACAACGAATTGCAGACCTCCAGCCTCACATCATCTAGCGAGAGTGAGATTTTTCGCAGCTTTTCTTATAAATATACAAAACGAAACAAGTTCAGCGTGGTGCTTGGCTCTCCTGTCTGGGTCAGGATTCAGCCTCAGGCAGATGTCAGAGGAAACATCTTTTTCCTTTTCATATAAATACTAAGATATTTTCACAGGGTATATTATTATTATTATTATTATTATTATTATTATTATTATTATTATTATTATTATTATTATTATTATTATTATTATTATTATTATATTGGCCTCGTTTTGTTCTAATTTTATAATGGCTAATATCTAAATCAATAGACATTGTCACAAAATTTAAATATTTCTTATGACTTTTGCAGACATTCTTAGATCAATTTGTAGCTGTTCGATTTATTTCTTTAAATTTCTTTATGTTTTGTGGTGTGGCATTAATTCGTTTCAGTTTATTTATTTCACTGCAATAAATGTCACCTCAATGGATTTCATAGGGCAAACAGCCCCAATTCATATCCAAACATAATTATAGTCACCAAATCTTTTCAGAGGTATAGACAGATTCAAATCCATTAGACGCATGAGTTTGATCCTAGTTGTGATGCGGTGCGGTCAGATTCTGGGTATGATGCACATTGGTAAAAAGTTACATAATGAAGCCGAGCTCATTGTTAGAGTCGTTGACTATGCAGCAGTTCCTCACCCTGAGTACCTATTGGCGACAGGGAACAGAAACAACTTCCTTTCAACAAGGAGAGACCTCCAGCAGTGCAAGGCTCAGACTGAGAGGCTCTCTGCCACGGCTGACTGCAGTTTGACATGAGAAATCCACAATTGTCTTCTTAAGAAGCTGGATTTGTTGTTTCATCCCAAGATCAGCAGTGACCCTCATCTAGCCGCCCCCTCAGTCATAGTCTGATTCTCTGGTAAAACGATTCAGTCTGATGTCATCTTCCTCTATGTGCCACAGAAAAACAGAACTTGCATATATGTTGTTTTATACTTGCCACGTTTTGAAATTCGAATATCACATGTGGAGATTCAAATTGGATTTATCCCCATTAATCTCGAGTGAAATCCCGTTAATCTTCAGATGGTTATTTGTAAAAAAAAAAAAAAAAAAAGTCCTGGGTTTTTTCCAGCACGTATCAGTTTCATGCCTGTGTTGTTTTGTTTTTCTGAGTATATATTCTTTTGTAATTTTATGACAGTTTTAGGACACTTTATTCCCTTTTCTGGGATATGACCTATTTCTAATGAATACAAAAAAGCTCTGTCTGTCCAGGGATGCATTGCCCCATTAAATGAAAAAATAGAAAACCAGAAAACAGAAGAGTCTGAAAAATACATGAAATACAAAAAAAAAGTAAACTATTTGTATATGTAAATAATTTAGGAACGAAAAATTAAAATGGCTGTATATTATTACATGTTGCTACTATGCTGCATCTTTTTAAACTGGGAAAAAAATTGTCTGTAAATTTGAGTTATATGTTAATTTTAACTGACTATTGTGACCTTTTTGTGAAAATAAACCAATAACTTAAAAAAGTGAAACTTGTGTGACTTCAGGAGCATTTATAAGACCACAGTGGCTAAAAAAGTGAGTCATGACAAAGTTGTCTGATGCAAATGGAAATGCTGAGAGTGGGCTTGAAAGTGAAACATTTTCCCAATGTAGGATGAAGTTTAAAGGGCAGCAGAGGAAGAACTGAAACTGTAACATTTAATGTGACTTTCAGTATGACAAACAACTGCTGTGATAGATGCACAGCTGTGAAAGAAATCTCTGACACTGTTACAACTATGCACTGCTTTCTTTTAGTCTATCATCTGAAATTCTGATAAAGTAAAATTTTAGTTGTAACACACCAAAATCGGAAAAGCTGAAGGCATGCAAATCGTTTTGCCGCTCACTGATTCCCATAGTCCGGTTCTGACTCTAAGCCCACCTGTTTAGAGATTCTTTTGAACCATAATAAACGAAACATTTACTAAACATACTAAATACGGTGAGTATTGAACATGCTAAATATGTTTCATACTAGCCATGTGTTGTATTTTTAGCACTAAATACTAAACATAGTACTAAGCATACTAAATACTTAGTATGTTTAGTACTGAACACGTTATCATAATTTGATGCTGTGTATTCATCATCGACATCATGAACACACATGATGTGTACTTAATATTTCGATGATGACCTTTATTAAAATGTAGCTAATGTTTATTACTGGTTTCATCAGTTGTTGACTGCATGGTGCCTTTTATGACTTTGTGTTTTTTACGACGTAAAGCTCTTCGAACTGCTTTGTTGCTGAAATGTCCTATACAAATAAACTTGATTGACTGATTGATAGTTTCAGTCCACTCCATTTATCAGTCCTTTCAAGTCCTTTATTTTCTTATCTCCACACTTGTTAAGTAAAAACGATATTCACCACTGTTGGTGTCTCTACTGAGTCACCGACAATGACTCCAATGTGAAAAGTAAATCCAATTTTAAAAACAGGGCTTAGACGTCAGGGGGGAGAGGGGTAGTCCATGTAAATTAGCAAGGCAAGTTTGGACCCCCAGATATCTAACTGCTCCCCTCCTGCAGTGTTAAAAATAACCCTCATCCGACTGAGCAGACAGAGTGGGAGTATTATCTCACTGAGGTTTGTTTAACATGGACCAGACAACATAGACACACACACACACACACACACACAAAGCCACAGATAAAGGAGAAATGGAGAACATTTGACTGGGGCAGAAAGAAATCTTGCAGATGCTACACAGCTGATATCAGTATCTTTATTACATCAGTTCCAACATCCTTTAGGTTTTGCAGCAGGTCTGATTCTTCGTCAACTGCGATCTGTTACTTCTGTAATTTATTTTGTGCTCTATTTATCATCAGAGGCCATTATTTTTGTTTATGCACCGATGAAAAAATAAATAAATAAGACAAATAAGATAAACCAAAGACATAATCAGATGTAGACTTCCTGTAAAGACTGCCTTAAAGAATCTCACTGAAAATCTTTGTTCAGTCTGAGAAGAGATTGAGTGTTTACTTTTTAAGTTTCCCTTCCAAGTAAGATCAAAGAAAACCTTTCAGTTCGCCTATGCTTAAACATTCCAATTCATCCTTCATGTTTAAATCCTCAATTTATTGGTAATTTGAGGATTTGGTGTTAAATCCCAAAGGTTTAAAAATATGTAACAGTTCCACATTTGATGTTGCAATGATTACTTTGATATTTGTATTCAAGAAGAGGCTCTTTTCTGTGCAACAACTGGGGTAATGTAGTGAAAATTAAACACATTTATCAAAACAATTAAATGTAAAATGTTTCCATATTTCCATAGTCAGAAGAAATGCTTGTATGTTGACCCTCTGATGCCCTCTGCTGGTCGAAAAGAAAACGACAAGAACTGGTTTATTTGCAAAATACAAAACCTTTATTAAAGATCTCCAATAATTCATATCATTCTGTGATTTACTTCCTTGACCATAGTGATTATGGTGGTACATTTTAGGTCTAAATAAACAAACAAATTAAAAAATGGGATTAAAAAAAAGTGTATAAAATGTGCTTTAAAATAGAAAATAACATCTCTTGAAATATATTTACACTAATATCAAGATTGTAAATAACCACTGAACCCTTACAAGGTTCAATGCTTGTAGAATATGTACAACTAAGTATTTCAGTCTGTCTTTGCTACCTGTGATAAATGCTCCTTTAACTTAAGTTGAACATTTTTACATTATGGTCAATACTGCTTTGGTGAAGAGCTTCTGTCTTTTTACATGCCCTGTAAATCATAGTGAATCAAGCCAAGCTTTTGTGCTGACTATGACTAAGTTTTTGTGAACAACCCACTTTAGAAAAGTGTGAGTAATAAGGCAATGATTTCCCGTCTTGTAATGGTGAGTAAAAAAAAAAGCTTCCCGTTATCACCCCTAACTTGGAGAACTGCTATAAATGGGCAATTGCAAAATGGTCAAACACATACGGTTTTGGGAAGAGTTGATGACTATGCTGATGATGTTCAACAATCCTCTTGTTGGTTTTTTTGTAGTTTTCCGTGACATTTCTTGGTGTTTTCGCTTAGATGTCACGTTTGAGTTTCTCTATGCTGAAGTCGCTTTCGGAGTCCAGCTTGGAAAGAGTTTTCTTCACCCTCAAGGCTGTGAGGCGAGCCGTTGGGTTCTGGTACCAACACTCTTTCATAATCTTGACAATGGTTGACAGGATCTGTAAACAAAAAGATGGAATTAAAGTGATACCCACTGGCAATATGTCCTCATTTGAGTAAACTTCATAGTACTGTCCGCCTATTATGACATGATGTGTATGGAGAAGATTAACCACAAAAGGATCCAACAGGAGAAAAGTAGCAAGACAACAAGCTGTGCAGTCCAAATATCTGGCCTTCATAGCAGAGTGCCGAGAAAGTACATGAAAAAAATGCATTAGAAATTCTTTTTTTGTTTGCTTCCATGCAAAACACCATCGGTTATGCAATGGGGATTTTTTTTTTTCTTCAGTAAGAAACGATTTTCAGAAAAAAACGGAAAGTGAATTCAGAGTAATCCTAAAAGAAAATCTGTTGGAGGCTGCAGAGACTTGAGACGGGTTCTCCCACCAGCTGGAAGTGTGGGTCAGTGGTGCGCTAATCTTATTCACAAGGGACAGCATAAAATTACTCTACAAAAAAAGATGTTTTTAAAGCTGAAAACACAAAAACGTTTTTTTTTTGTTTTTGTTTTTTCACCTGCTCAACAATCAGCTAAAATGTAGACGTTTGATTGACAGAAAAAGTTAGATTTTTGTCCAAAAAGGGAAATACTTATAGAAATAAAATACAAGAGTCTTGTACGTTTGCCTCATTAAAAAAAATAAAAAGAATATGATTCCCAGCATCAGTGAATGGGTGACTCCAAATCTGCTTTTGAGTAGAACTTGCTGAATGACTTTGGTTCTGTTTACTACGAAATTAAAATGAAATATTTGCATTTTTGGAAAGATTACCATGACAGTCCAAATTTTATCTGGAACTTCTTGTGCCAGCAAATTGATTCTTTAATATAGCTGCATGTTTGGTTGTGTGTGTGCACTGGGAGCACTTACTGGGTGGGAGTGGAGCCTGTTGTGCAGGCTGGGCTTCTGCTGGTCCACACACACCACCTTCTTCATCTCCTCAAAGCTTGGATCGGAGGGCACCAAGTCAAAGAAGGGCGGTCGATACTCCTCAACAATCCCTAAAAGTGGGACAGGAATAAACAACACAAACTTAGTCACACCGATTAAAAATAACAAACATGACAGAGAAAATGCAGTTTATGAACGTAAATATACTCCCTGCCAAACTAAAAGATCACATGTCGTATCTCCTCAAATGACTATCAGCTTCTTATTTATTTATCCCCACATAAATTTACAGAGCATAAATTTTTCCTCTCATAAAAGGCTTGAAACAGCAAGATAAGCTTGCTGGAGATAAGCTACAGTGGGAGTTTTTGTAAAGTATGTTTGGCTAAACAGGACAGCGGGAGAGATACCAGTTCCCTGGTGACTGCATGAAGACCTTCCCCCACATACGAATTCATCTGCACATTGTGTCCGTGTGTGCAGCAGCAGTGTGTAACCGGTTGCACAAGGGAGTGTGTTTGCAATGACAACTTGCGTGCATGGGCATCTGGGCCGTGTAACAGTGAGTGCTGACAACAGATAAGACTGTTTATAATTACTGCGGTGCTAATCATGGGAAGGGGAGAGGAGAGACAGACACAGAGGAGGAAATAAAAAACAAAAATGCTCAACTGATGAGATGCAGTCTTTTGTGTGTGTGTATACTTCCAGGACAACAACATGGTACGAAAAGACACATTTTTGGTTTTCCGATAAATAGGGGGAAACTAATCATTTCTTTTTATTTTATTTGGCTCAGATTTTAAAACAACAGATCTACTGCAATGCCTGACAAGTGTGCTCACATCCCTGGACTATTTTTACATCAGTAAGAGAAAATCACATACCTCTGTGGATATTAATGGGATTTTATGTTATACATGGACAAAGTAAGGTGGCAGGAAACCAATGCAACATATGAAATGTTTAGAAATAGAAACCCAAAGTGGTACATGTATTTCTTTTTCACACCACCCTGTCTCCACTCCCATCTTTCACTACCTTGAGGTATATCATTCTCCACCCACTTTGCAGATCTAGAGACTGACATCTTTTCTAATTCCCCTCTGCAGCATAGCTAAAGACCAGTCAGAGTTGATCAAGTTTTGTGCCTACTTTTTAATTTGATTTAGCTCTGAATTTTGACTATGCCGTTCAAACCAGTTGAGATGCTTTCATCTAGCCCATTTGATTGTATCTCTGGCTCTATGTTTAGGTCTATTTTCCAGCTTGAATGTGGACTCACATCTTTTCCAGCATCTAACATTACATGTTTGTCATTTAATGAGAACAGTGGTCCCCTAAAGGGCCAGTTTTTGGCTACAGATTGATCATTTAAAGCTACTTAAAATCCATAAAACCCACAGATTCATACAGCCTTTTTAGAGTCCAGCCCAAAATTCCAATCAAATAATACAATTTGTTGAAACATGACAAAAAATGGATACTGTTGCTAGGTTCAGGGTCTTACTGCCAACTTACCATTGACGACAGTCCTGCGTGTTATTTCCCAGAAGACCAAGCCAAGGGCCCAGATGTCAGTTTGCTTGTAAGATTCAAAGACATCGACACGAATCGTCTCATCCAGCACTTCAGGGGCCATGTAGCGCTTCGTCCCTACACGAGGATTGTTGCCCACGTCCAAGTAGTCATGAGACTGAGAGTGCATCACAGCCAAGCCTGAGGAGGCGTAAAATACAGGTGAAATGATTTCATCTGTCACTTTGGATGAATGAGTGAAATCAGCACAAATTTGAAAGTAGATGCGACATGCACACTTTACCTAGATCGGCGATGCAGCACTGTCCGTTCCTCTTCACCAGGATGTTTCTGCTCTTGAGGTCTCGGTGGGCGATTGCCGGCTTCTCCTGGGAGCTGACTATCTCAGTGTGGAGGTGCACCAGGCCACAGGCCACCGAGAGGCACATCCTCAAGCAGCTCTCTGGCTCCAGGCTGCTGTACTGCAGGAAGTCATAGAGCGAACCCAGCTCATGGAAGTGAGTGACGAGCCACAACTGGGTGCTGGAGTTTTTGGAGGTCATGTCCGAGGCAATGAAACCTGAAAGACAAGACGAGAGATGTTAGGAAACTGACTTTGGGGTTTTCTTTTAGTCTCACATATAATTTGATTGGTACCAAAGTTTTAGGTGGAAGGCACATATTGTAGCGTAAAAATAAGTCCTTCTTGATGTAGAAAGGTTATTTCTCACAGCTTTAGCTGCCGTACCCAAAATATTCTCATGGCGCAGCTGCACTGTATTGTAGATCTCTGTCTCTCTGAACCAGGACTGCTCGTCCCTGGAGGAGAAAATCTTGACAGCCACACTCTCTCCCATCCATGTGCCCCTCCACACTTCACCATATCTGCCTTTACCTGGATGGGAAAAGACAGAGTTAATCAGGGTTTCAGCAAAAGACAGAAAGAGAACAAAAAATAAACTGAAATGAAGTAAAACTGACCAACACATTCAACAAGAGAGATTTGTCTCGCCATAGTTCTTTGGACCAGATAAGGAAGGCCTGTCCCACTCCCTGAAGTACAAAACTCATCAAAAATTTCCTAAAAAAAAAAACAAGAGACGCAAATATATTTAAGAGATAAAATAGTCATTTTACTCCGACTCATTGGAAGGTATGAGGTGTTGCTTACGCCATATGTGGGGTCATTTCCGGTGGGGACTTTGACAGTAAGGCCGTGATCTTCGGGATCTTTCAGTTTGCTTGGTGCACGTCGAAATCGCAGAAACAACAGGAAACCACACACGCTTACAGACGTGAGCAGCAGCAGCAGAGTCACAGCGATCCACAGCTTGGGATGTGGCAACTCTGGGGGAGGAACTGTCGTCGGCTCTCCATCTGGACAGACATAAATGATTTGATCACCAAACCTCTGAAAAATACGTTTCAGTAATTTAGCTAAAAAACTATTTCATAATACATTGATTAATAACAGAGTGATATTTCAAGCTTTTATTTTTGTTCCTGTTGATCATTACAGATAATATAGAAAGATGCATGCCTTTCCAAATCCAATTCAATCAGCAGTTTACCACAGGCGGAGTCTATTCAAGTAATAGAAACATCACAGCAATGGCTGCAAATTCTCAATAATACGTGAAATTAATTTATTTTTTATTCTTTACGTATTAGCAAAATTACTTTGCAAATGCACAGTTTCATTTTAGAAAATGAATTAAATTAACTTGTCAATGAAGTTCTAATGTGCTGAGATACAACTACATACTAATTTGCAATAACTGGCCACCAGGGGGAAGCAATTACAACCTCTAGAGAAAATGAAGGAAGGCTTTCCTTGACCAGGATTGCAAGTTGAACAAAGTTATCTCATGCAAGCTAATCACTCAGATCCATTAAGTTCAGTAATATATTTCTACAATATATAAAAATTGCAAAAGTATGACTATAGGTACTGACTAATATTTGGAGGCGGTGTGATCAGAGTGTTGCACTTGTCCGTTTGGCAGCACTGGACAAAAAAGCCGGGGAAGGAACCAAAGCACTGCTCTCTGAAGTGTTGTTGTGGGAAACATCCCCATGTCTCAGTGACAGGGTTTTCTGCTTCTGCGTCCCTGGTTAGCACCCAGGAATAGAAACAGTAGTCTCCTCTGCACGTCTCGTTGCTGCAAATGCCTGGATTCTTGGGGTTCTCACATTTGCACAGCAGCTTCGCTTCTTCACCGCCATCCTGGTTCTCTGCGGCACAAGAACAAAATATAAAATAGAAATGAGTTTAAATCTAAATCTCGTCCCATAACGGTGAGGTAAGGAAAATGGCTTACCTGGAGAGAAAAAAAGTTATTTTTCTGAAATAATAGGCAGGAGGTCAGAAAGGATTTCCTTTTAGGGGAACACAAATTATAAGTTAGCCCAATTTCCTGTGCTGCCACAAGATGGCACGTCAACAGCCAGATTGTGGTCTTTCATCGGGAGGGGCCATTTTGGTTTCAAATGACAATATTGTCAAAAATGAGACAACACAACCCAAAATGTAAGCCTCAGTTTGCTATCAGGCCTTTAAAGATTCCATTTAATACCTGATGATGATCTGAACTCATGGGATATAGTGTTACAAACGTAAAAGCTGAAGTTCTCCACAGGTACATTAGGTAAACTTAAGATATATTCTTCAGTGTTTAGTTAATATTTTATTTGAGTTTTATGTTTTGAAATAAACTAATAAAATGTTTTAACTTCTTTATGATATTGCAATACATTAAAATAAACTCATATTGTGCACAGAGTGACAGAAATATCCCCTTATGAGTTGCAAAGCTCTGCAGGAATGCTACTTTGTTCAAACTGCTAGAGGCAATTTAAAACTAAAAGGAAAGCAGTCGAGCATCTAAGACACTTTCCTCTTGAGGTGGGTGGAGAAAATCTTCTGCCTCTCATTTTCTTCGACAGCTCGTCATGTCACGAGGCCAGTAAACATTGATCCTGTTTAAGCTTGTTGGTTGGACACGGACGCTTCATGAGAAAAGCAAAAACAGCAAAAACTTCACATTTAACTCACCTGCATGAATGGTGGAAGTCAAGAGAAAAACTCCTGCCAACAGAACCCTGAGCAGAACAGATCTTCCCATCACTGAGGAAATAAAAGACAAACTGTGTTAGCAGGAGTTTTTTTTTTTTTTTTTTACTTAGAAAGGAAAAAGTGACCCAGAGAAGCAAGAGATCTCAGCCGGGGCTTGATTTCAGTTTACATATTGTAACTTAATAGTTGTGTCCATGAGGAGCAGAGCGGCGGCTGAAGTCAAGACCCTAAAGGAAGCTATGAGGTCAAAAACAACAACCAGAGGATCCAGCCTGTCTGACTGTGTTTAATTGCACTGGGTGGGAAAAAAAAGGGGGCTTAAGGGGAAGCGGGCTGAAAAGGCCCTTGAGTGTGTTTGTGTTTGTGTGTTCTTGGACTGCTTGTGGCGCTGTGCTACACGGGCTTCAGGCCTGACGACTCCACAGCTAGCCTGCTCGCAGAGTAAATATTGATGGCTATGCTTCCTGCCATTGAGTGGCCCCACCCGGCTGGCCGGCGAGACTCGGGTCTGCTCATTGTTTAGGACCATGGTGCTGGCAGTCACGCAAAGTCAGAGGACTGCGATACACACACTCGTAACTTAAGGGAGCTCGGAATGAAGCTTTTATTAAAAAGTGAAGCAACATCTTTCAACAGCATCAGGGGACATCGGTCAACTTTTATTTTGTTTTTAGCTATTTTCATTTACATCAACTAAATAACTTTAGCTCGATTCCAACTATTTTTTTTTAAATATAACAATCATAAAACAAAGTGTTGCAACAATATTTGTATTGCATATATGTTTTCTACAAAATGATCCACAGATGTTTGTGACTTTTCTTTTGTGTGTTTTTTTTTTTTAGACCTTAGGCTAGAAAATGTCTCGCCAAATTAATTTGCTCGTTATTGTTAGTTTTTACCATATAGCTTAAATCGTTTCTTATTTTATGATTAATATTTCTTTCCTACTTTCATCTATGCATTTTGATTTATTCTCTTATATTAGTTTCAGGCCTTTTCCCTTTTGGTTTGTTGATTCTCTTGAGTCCTCAATCAGTTTCCATTGTTTTGATTTGTCTCTCCTAACTAACCGAACTGTTTCCTTTGTCATGTTCCACCCATGCCTCAGTATTTAAGTTTTTGATTTTTATTTGTTCCTTAATGGATTCTCAAATTACTCTGGCTGCCTTACTTTACCTTACTTTTCACATTATAAGGTTTTCTGTTGTTTCTTATTATATACCCTGGTTTTGCCACAGTCAGCTCCTCTGCTTGAGCCTTTACTGACCTACAAACGTGACAAATTTGATGATATACACCGTCACAAAGTAGTCCATATAGTATACTTTACTACAGTAAAGTGGAAGAGTAAGGATACTAATTTTCAAAATATTTTAGGTGAGATATCTACTCCTGAGAAGCTGGGAATCCACAAATATCAGCTGTCTTCACGAAAAGCCAATAAGCCATAAGAAGTATGGTTTGTAGATTTCTGGAAGAGGTGTAGAGACCACAACTCAATGAGATTAATCTTTAATTAATCTGAGCTCAACTGATTTGTGATTTGTTTTATTCTCAGCAACAACACCAGTATTTGGGTTACTTTTTAATAAAAGAATAAAAAATAAAAACACATTTGAGTGCACCAGAGATTTTTCCTGAACAAAAATGCTAGTTGATAGTGAATTCGAAGACAAAATGGATGCAGACCGCCACCACTAGATAGTGGAAACAGGTGTTCGTTATCTAGTTTATAGAATTGATAAATTAATAAAAAAAGGCTTGTTCACCTCCACAATTCTGCTCTCCTTACTGGTTATCTTGTGCTGAAATCAGCAAGTTCTCAAGTGGTTCTTCATGCTTTAATGAAGATTTAAAGCATGTTTTTTACACTAAATGTACATGTAGCAAACAGAGAGTCACTAATACCTCCTAAAGGAGGAAGGTTTTGATTGAAGAAATTAGTATAAATGGTCCACTGGTTCTCTGGCGCCTCTGCTTCAGTCAGCATTTATTTAGGAATAATGGGTTTATGCGTGACCTTTTTAAATCTCAAGCCCAAGTTTATAAAGGCTAACATACTGAGAAGCATTTTAACTCCCGCCAAGATATACAAACCTGCCTTTACGGTGGTTATGCTAACAAGATGTGGCGTCAGTTCCTTTCTGTCTCCAGTTTGCGTGATTTCCATGTGCTTTCATGGATTTCCTTGTGTTTCCAGACGTTAGCTGTTAGTTTTATTGCTAAATTTAAAAAAGTGTCCTTTGATGTGTGTGTGGATGATTGTTTGTGTCTGTGTTTCCTGCCACCGGCCCGTTGACTACTGGCATATAAGTGGCAGCATTTAGCTGACCTTTAACGGCATTACGTGAGAACAGAAAGAGGAGCAGTGGAGCTACGCGCGTAAATGTAACAGAACCATCATGTTTTTGTTTTATTCATATTCTTCTCAGATGTGAAAACTAGGCAACTTCAGCGAATGAGTTCAAGTCTTGTCCCAGTTAACTGATGTTTTTAGTACATTTTCTGTCACGTGTCATATTGTGAATTTTAGTCGCACTAATCAGAGGGTCATCCAGGAGGCCTTTTGGTAACGCTGGAGGAGCTGCAGAGATCCAAGTTTGCAAACAGGAGATTTGGAAACACTCTGGCCAGATGACACCAAAACTGATCTTTGTAGCATTCATGTGTTGGAAAACTAAAGAAGCACCACACACTGGAAGTCTATCCTGGAAAAAAAAAATCATGTTAAATTCAGCAAAAAATACTTGAAATTGGGAAGGAGGATTACCTTACAGATTAACAAGACAAATGCTACAGTGTTATGGCTTGAATCACACTCGTGTTAAGATGATGCAGTCATTGATGTCTCAGTGGGACATCAACCCAACTGAGAATCTGTGCAAGGATTTGAAAATGGCTCTTTATATACGGTTCAACAATGCTAGACTCTAGATGTGCTGAGAAATACCCCCCGTACAGCAAAATGTGTTTGTTCAAAGAATTGTCTCAAGAGAGGCTGGTTGTAAATGCATGCCACATCTTTTAGATTTTTATTTGGACAAACAGTTTAGGAATCTTTTCTGCTTTTCCTGCTTCAAAGCATAGCCTTATAATTCGCGAATTTTGTTGTCAAATAACAAAACTGCATACATCTGGCAGTGGAGCCAGTGAACTGCGGCCCAAGGCTTTTGACATCCTCCTTCAGTTTACATGCATCTTCTTTAAAAAAAAAACTTAAAAATCCAAGTGCAGACTACAGGAAGACATGTCGTTGCATTTCAAAGGCAGTGTGAGATGTGACAAAACGGAAACCAGAAAATAAGTTTCACTGACACTTTTTTGATGCTCTGAAATTTCTAATTGTTTTCTATTCTCTCTCTTAAATTGCACAGTTCCTGCAAGTTGATCTGAACTTCCTGACGAAAGCAGACCACAAAAGAAGTTTCTTCTGAGAAGCAAAGGGTGAACTGGTGTGTTGCATCTCTTCTAAATCCAGAGCAATCTGACAGCGGTGTATAGCAACCTCTAGCTTGAGACGCCGCTCCTGTCAGGGTTGAACTCGAAGTACAGAACATGTTAAAACCACGACTGCCATGTCTTATCACCCGCCACAAAGTGCTTCCTGAATGATGCTGCTTTTTGAAAATGTAACCTCAACCAAGAAAGTAAATCTTATGGTTGGCCTAAACACAAATGCCACATGCAAACTGTACCAATTCTTGACTTAAACAGTCCACTTGAAGAGCGAGCTATCGCTGAAATGTTTCAGAGATCTCAGTGAAGGGAAATCTCCAACCGCAGGCATACAGACTTTATACTTAGCTCCTGTTTGTCTCCATTCTGCCCAAAGCTACACCCACGTGACCCAGGGGAAAACATCCACTGTCATCTCTTCCTCTCATCTGCATGGCTCTAACTCAGGGAGGCAGATCTCTCATTCCATCTGAATGACTGTGCGGTTACAGTGGTTGGATGTGTCAGGCACCTCATCACACACAAGCTTTCCTCTTCTTTGGATTAAATTGTTGTTGCTGTATGACAGCAGCATCTATCGTGATGCCTAAAGCACAAAAGCATACAACGCTTCCCCCCCTTAAATCAAACCTGAAATGAACGTTTGTCTGAGAGAGGAAATGGCAAATTCTTCAAACTCAGCTGCGCACACAAACGCTGCTTCCCAAACAGAAGACGGAAAACAATGAAGGGAAATGCATGAAAAGAAAATAGCAAACACAAAGATATTAGTGTGAACAGCATACACCTGATGAGCGAACACCACAGGTCACATGGAAAGATGACCTAAAGTCTGGAAGGTCAAAAAGCTCTGGCATGTTTGCGTTGGTGTAAGTTCAGTGGGCTAAAAAGAGAACTTAAACGTAAACACAACCACAAGGTCTTTGGTGCAGACTTTCTCATCTATGAATTACCCAAAATATATGCCTAAACGTAGCAACAAACAAATCAGCACGGATTTCCTTCAATCATAAAACTGAAGGAAAATCATCCACTCGTTGTACAGTTTTTTTTTTTGTTGTTGTTGTTTGGTTTTTACAAATCCACATTTGAAATCTGTATTTGAAATTTGAAATCAATGTCAAACGTTTCCCTTCCAAAGCCTCCTAATTAATAAATAGATTCAATCAGCATATAATTTAATCTCAGCATGAATTCAACCAGGTTCAGTGAACATTTTGAAGGCAGCCTGATTTTGGTCAAATAGCAAGAAGACGTCCAGTGGAGAGACAAAGCTACAGAAAGTCTGATTTGCAGTTTATTATTTGACTTTTCGACCTACATTCAAAACGCTGTATGTGAAGAAAAATTGAGACTGCACATCATCCTGAACAAACCACCTCCTTGCTAAAACACATTAGTGACTCTAAACATATAGCTGGAAGTACAATAAAATGGCCCAGTCAAACTCCACACCTATACACTGATCACAGATGATCTCCATCCAATCTGACTGAACTTGAGCCATTTTGCATTGGCTCAGGCTCAGTCAATGCTTGACTGAACTCGAGCTCATAGTTAAGTTATAGTATCTTCATTTAGCTATAAGATGTGCAGAGCTGGAAGATGTTTATTATTGTCTTGTTGCTGTAACTGCAGGAAAGTAGCTTCACTAAGCACTGATTCAGTAAAACTGAATACAAATACACACAACACTTCTCGTACTTTATGAGACGTTATCTGTTATCTTCTTTTTAGAACGATACACTACCTTGTGTTTGTAAAGTTTGTGCTTACAGCAAAATGGAAGCACCTTTAGCCTTTACTCTTTTTAAAAACAAATACATGGAAATCAATTAAATATGCTTCCTCTTTTTCAGGCTGAAGCTATTTAAAAAAAAAAAAATCATTATTATTATTCGTTTAAACTTGGGAATTCAATATAAATCAGTTGCTCTTGTGAATATTAAAATAAATGAATATTCACCTAGAATTCCAGCAAAGAAATAACGCAGACCTCTTGATTAGTCACTTACTTCTTTCCAGGTGAGCAAAAAAAAAATATATATATATTGCATCGGGTGACAAAATCAATGTTTATGTGAAAAGTTGAGTTTCTGTGATCAACAGCTGGACTTTGGATCAATAGGTGCTCATAGGTGGAAAACCAGCAGTTTTCTCTCTGCGCATGTGACACCTGCTCACATCTGGACACACGTGTGTCCCGCTGGGAAAAGGCAAATCGCTTTGTGTCTTTGCCTAGCAGCGCTAATTGGGTTATTAATAGAAGGTCAAGGACGTGTTCATTACCTGTTTGTTGTTTGTTGTTGTTGTTTGGTTTAACTGGTCAGACGGAGCCGCCACGCGTCGCCCACATCACAAACAGGTCGAATGAGAGTTTAAAGCAGCGCCGGGGGGAAACCTGGCCTCATCGTGAGACAGTGAACTAAACCTGTTCAAAGTCGGAAGAACTCACATCCTCTCCGCTGCCTCTACGACAAAAAACAAAAAAAAACAAAAAAAAAAAAAAAAAAAAAACCCGGCCGGAGCTTCGTGGAAACAGAAAAAAATAAAACCCCAAAAACCGGTTCTGGTGAACCGGAGAGCGGTTTAAAACTTTAACACTTCAAAGATGAAAGTAGTGTTTCAAAAAAGAAGAAGAAGAAGAAGAAAAACAAGCAAGAAGAGGAGCTCGGAGCGGGGTCCACCGAGTCCACATCGAGCTGAATGAGAACCTATCTCATCTGGGTCCCGATCTGCGCTGATAAAACCCGCAGCAGGAACATCGTCGCGGGGTTTCGGACCAGACTCCTTCCGCCTCCGACTGGCTTCACGAGAGACGGCGGAGGGCGCTCGGCTCCCATGAAGTAAGAGTTCGACCGTGTTCCCGATTAAAAGGCGAGATTAGAGACTTTTTAAATAGTTGTAGGCATAAGAGTTGTCGTCCCACCCCTTATTGTTCCGTCCAGACTCCGCGCGCCTGGAATGTGTTCTCTTAGCGGTTTTCCTGTTGCTTGCTAAACCTCTCATTTTCCTTTTCCCTCTGTGGACTTGTGTTTTTTTTCTTTTTTTTTCTGCTGCACTGACAGGAATGTGCGTCAAAGAATTGCACCAAACTAAACCAAGAAGGAGAGAGACGGTCTAGGGCCAGATTTCCACCCTCCGTGTATGAATTGGTCAAAGTATAGAGTTTATTGCGCGTGAATCACAACCTGAAGAACAAGGACATATTTAATGGATGCAAAACAGGATCTGGAAGCACTCTGTTTTCCATTTGAGGAAAACAAAGTGGAGTAGTCCTTGCAGGTTTCTGACTGGAATTTATTGCTGCGCCCAGAAGTTGTACCATTTTTCAATGTGCGATCAGTGCAGATTCCACAAACTAAATGATTTCAGGCACACATATTGCCAAAAGTTATCACTTGTGCACCTTCACAAGTGCGTATTTGCACGAGTGACACCTCTTCTTAATCCGTACGGTTTAGTATGACAAACAGCTCAAAGTGTCCTGGAAACATTTCCAAAAGGATTGAGATTGGTTTTATAGGATTTTTGATGTTATTGTAGGTCCATATTTATTTATTTATTTTTTTAGATCTGACAGTGATGTTGGATGGGAAGCCTGGCTGGCAGTTTTTTTTTTCATCAGAAAAAGTGTTAGGACTTTTCAAATTGTACGACATAAAACTCACTCATTCTTGTGTTGTTATAGCTCTTGCGACATCATGTTGAAACAGGAAGGGACCATTGCCTAAGAACTGTTCCCACAAAATTGGGAGAATGAGATTGTCCAAAATTTCTTGGTGGGCCAAAAACATTAAGAACTTCTTTCCTCATGATGTGAGGCTTTGATAGTACAGGCCACTTACCATTTAGTTGCATAGTTATTTTCTCTGTGAATATGTATGCACTGTTCCTGAGCTAATCTGAAAACCACAAGGTCTGTAGCTATACTGACTCTGCAGAAAGTTGACAATCTACGGCGCTCCGTATTGGGTGTTTTACGTGGGCTACCGCTTCAGGGTGGAGCTTCTGTTTTTGTGAGCATCTTCGTTGTTTATTGGAGAACATCAATTAACAAACAGCAACAGGAAGACGTGAATAAAAGCAACAGAAAAACACAAGCAGTCCAGGGATAAAGCTGGGGAGAAATTTAAAGCAGTTCGCCTGTGTGAGAAGATCCGAGGGTTTGAACATCTCAGAGTACTTTTCAGCCCATCATCTGAAGATAAAAAGTCCTTGTCACAACTGTAAATCTTTCGAGATATGGCTGTCAACCTAAACTGACAGGATGCAAAAGGAGAGCATAAATCAGAGAAGCAGTCAAGAGGCCCATGATAACTCTGAAGGAGCTGCAGAGATCTATCGCTCAGGTAGATCTCTACCTGAGCAAACCTGACATTTATGAAAGAAGAAAGCAGTTTTTTCTTTATTGATGTACACAAAAACTCATCACCTTGGATATGCCACATAAAACTACTTCAGTAAGTACAAAAATAACAACTGGTACTCCTTTGGTTGATCCCAGTTCTTGTTTTCTACAGTTTTTCTGTATAAAAAAACATGTACAATTTTCAAATACACATATAAAATAAATTACGGTACACATATTACATTAAATGCATTATTACATTTAATGAAACATAAAAGTCTACCAAAACATAAGAAAAAATGTGCACGCTTAGCAACGGTGGGAAGGCATGATGATGCTAAATATAGTTACTTTATTGTGTGTGTTTGGCGATTGTGGCAGCTGATACCCATCATGAAGACGAATACCAAAGGGAGTTCGGTGTGGGACATTTCACTTAAAACAGCCTTCTGCAGATGTCTCCATGTAATACAAATTTCCCTCCCTGTTCACAGGCTCTGCTTTCTCTCACGTTTGGCTCACGGCTGCAGACACCAGCTGGAAGCTTTCACATCACTTGTCAAGTTGCAAAATGAGCAAATTGTTCTTTGCACTTTTGGGACTTATTTTTCTTAAACCATTAATCTCTGTAATTTGAAGAGCCATGTAATCTTGATAGTTTCCATTTGTAGCACATCGCTCCTTGGAGTAAATGAAATAACATTTCAGTCCTGTCAAAGCAAATAAAACAAAAACAAAAACAACTGTATTTCAGCAATAAGCAGTTCATTTGAATGCTGACATGTCTTATTCACGAAGGTGGAAATTTCAAGATGTTTTGGTCAATTTTAACTGCATGGACAAATTAGAATCTTAATTTGAAAAATTGTTCAACTAAGATGTGCTTCCTTCTTAACTCTAGCGAGGGGCTTATTTTAGGATTGACCTAAGGTCATCAAGTTCCCCTCTTATGAAAGGAAGTGAGCTGCGACTCTGAGAATAAAATAAGACATTGTTTTATACCACACGTTTTGCTTCTCCTTTTCCAACTGCCGCTGTGAAGCTTTTCTCCCACAAGAAGCTTTATTGCGAAATATGGCTTCATTTAAGTCATAACAACTTCAATATGTGCTAAAACATAAGAGGTTGCCTTTGATCACATTTTATCACTAATAAAATGTAATTGTTGTGTAATGATAATCTTGTGTGGATTAAAAGATTACTGGCAACCAGAGTTCAAAAGCCACCCCATGCCACCACAGAGTCTTAAGTAGCTCAAAGTATCCTGATTTTAAAAGAGTAAATAAGGTTACAAGACTAATCAGTCACATGTATTCTGCAGTAGAAAATATCTTATTTCTAGTTTTTCCACGTACCTGAATATAGGCATAAATGCAAGACTTTTACAGCAGTTAAAAATCTTTCTAATGTTTTTCATGTTATTACCACTGAATAATAGCATTACTCAGTTTACCCTTTGACCTACAAGTCCTTTCAAAAAGTCCCAGTGGAAGCACAGCAGCTGAGCATTTCAAAAATCGAGAACCGTATGTGACCTTGTTAAGCAAAATATTTTTAGCAGTATTGATCCTGATGGTGTCAAAACCTGATTGTGAATCTGCCTTTAAGTTGATGAAATTGTTACGTTTGAAATGCTTGTAGGTGGAAACGGTCTGATTCATAAAATTTTAAGTCTAAATTGATAGCTTGTTAACATTTTGGAAGTCAAAGAGGTCTCACTCAGTCCATAGAATTAGTTTTAGAAAAGAATAGTTGGATCTGCTTTTCTTTGGCAATCTAAGGGCATTTAGCGCTGATGTTAGCCAAACTCAACTTCTAATTGTCTGACCAGTCCCTCATGGCATCTCCTCTTCAGAAAGTGTATGCTGCTCGATTGCTGTGCTCTGGCAAATAAATAAAAAACAAACAAACCCTGGATCCCATCAACCAAGTTTGGCCAATAGGACAGATATACAATGATGTTTCTGATGTGCTTTTCGTTTGTTTTTGTATCATATGCTATTTTTACATTTGTTTGGTTCTTTGCTCGATTAATCGTTGGTAGCTAAATAAATCATAATCCTGAGAAAATTACTGGAATATCCTTATTCTTTACCTGATTGTGTAAACCCACATAATAATAAGACTGATCATCATTCAGATTAATTTTTTTGATGAGTTAGGAGGCTGGCTGATTTCTGAAGATGACTATAACTTAATGTAGTTTAATATGACTATGCCACATCAAACATGATGCGTCAAAAGAACTCACTCTGTTGCTCAGGTCAAGAAAATTTATTACAAACTTGCATTAAACACTCGTCATTGATTCAACACCTTAAATACGCCACAAAAAACCTGAGTGCTCAAAGTATTTTTGTTTTTAAAGTAATCTTCAAACTCTATCAAAGAAGAGATTGCCTAATTAGATCGATGTCGTAGATAACATATAGATATAATCTGTTACAAGTGGATATGTTTTGGATTAATAATTGTGTTATTTTAGTTAGCAAACTCAATACAAAAATATGATAACACTTTTTTTCTAGTTTCCAAAAAAACAATCTGATCGTGAAAAGTCCATAATTTAATAACCCTGAGAAACATTTGGTACAGGCAGTTCCTCTCAGAGGTTCCTTGGGTTCTTCTTTTATCAAAAATCCAGTAGATGCTACATGTTGCAGGAGAGGTGGGATCTGGGTGGGCAATTAGAAAACAAACATCAGTCAGGAATAACAATATGAACGCCAGCCTAACGTGTGTGTTGGTTCTTTTATGCTTCATTGACACATGGGCCCCTGAAGGTGTGTTGTGGTACCACAGTGTTACAGTACACGTTGTAAGGTGAAGCCTCCATGGACAATTTGAAGTCAACACCTCATCTTATTAAGTGGATGGATGAATGGTTGGATGGCAGGACAAAATCTTCCCCACCAGATCATTCTCCAAACCACCACACATAATCCACATGACAGAAATTAAAAGGTGATTCATCAGAGCGGGGCGTCATCTTCCTTTAATTCCTCTGGAGTCACATGACTATTGTTGGCACCTTGTTTTGTCTCTTTTTGGTCCTTTGGATATAATAACTTATTTTAATTTAAGTTAAATTAAATTATTTGCTCATACATGTCTCATTTACAGTACAGGCTATTGGCTCTTTATTTTATATTCAGTTACTATAAAGCTTTTCACCAAGTGTCCAAGAAAAAAAAGAAGTGTCTTTAAAACTGCAGCTCAAGCAGACACAGTGGTGCAAAAGCAAAAGATTCACCGAGCTTGAGATGTAAAAAGTCTAATGATGTCTCAATCCAAATATCATCAGGAATAACATATTTGTGTGCCCAAGTTGTCAAAAATTGTTTAGAAATATTATGAATATTATGAAGGTGGATATATTATCCACCTTCCAGTGGATCACAGTTTCTGTTGGAGCCAAAGTTCAAATCCATTCATGATATTTGTCAGATGCTCGCTCCCAAAGTTGTTTAGCACCGACTTTCTCTCATGTTACAGAAATCAGAGTCACCGTTATCTCACTGTTTTATTTATTTTGTGCGTGGCCATATCACAGTGAAATTTTATCTGGCTGACTCAGCGTTTGCTGGAGGATTTTTTGGACCCCTTAGATTTTTTCTCGTCTTCTTTCTCCTGTTCTTGTCTTTTCTTCTCTCTCTTTTTCTCCTCCTTGGCCTCCTTGTACTTCCAGACGGGCGGCTCCAGGTAGCCCTTCTGCCTCTTCTTCTTTTTCTCCTTTTTTGGTGTGGGCTCCCCAGACTTTGTCACTTCGATCTTAGGAATGCAACCCGAGGGGAATATGCTGTTCCTGTGTGCCATGCTGCGGGGGATGAAACTTCTCATGCCGCCTGATGGCATGCTCTCCCTGCGCTCTGCCTCCTGGCAGCAGGATGTCAGAGAGACAGAGGTGGCGGACAAAGCTGTTGGAGACGCTGAAGTGATGGATCCGTTGCTGTGGGACACAGTGCTCTCCTCCAGCTCCTTGCTGCTGTGCTTTTCAAGCAGTTCTGGTACGGCGTACCGTCTCTTGCCAATTTCAGGGGGACTGGTGGGGCAAAGCGGCCGGGAACCAGTCACTACCAGGGGGCTGTGAATGCTCGTAGTTATCCGAACCATATGATCCATAACCCCGTTGTCGTGGGGGTCATGCGGGAAGCTGAAAGAAAGGCTTTCTTTTAAGCGCTGTCTCAACTTCTGACTGGTTGATTTTGGGGCAGTGGTCTTTTCCACCAGCTGTTTCAGTTCAGGCCACTCAGGCTTGTAGCTTTCACAGAACTGCCCGGCAACAGGGTGAGCCTGCAGGCGCCGTATCCTGTTCAATGTCTCAAACCGTCCTGTCCGAAGGACCCAGTCCTTAAGCCCTCTGCCTTGGACCAGGTCCACAGCATGCATGTCTGCACCTGTGCAACAAAAAGGATGGAAAAAAAAACGAAAAGCTGTAAAAGCAACATGAATACGGCTCTACAGAATGTATTGAAACTAAACAGCTTTCATCAGTAGAACAACGCCACCATGTGGTTGTTCTAGTCGTGCAAATTGCTGTGTGGCATAACTTCACTTGGAACAAGTCAGGTAACTTCACTGTATGGGGGAAGTTGGTATACATGGAGTTGAAAAATGAGTCACAGGCTCTTAAACTTTGTCGTAATTTCTCACTTTATATCTCAAAAATGATGAAGTAAAAATTTTACTTTTTTAAAACGTTAAAAGATGCAGTGTCCATTTGTATTCAGTCGTCCTCGAGTCAATACTTTGTAGAGCAGCACTGTGGTTCCATCAATGATGCAAATCATGGATTATTTCTCTACCAGATTTACCCATCCATCGTCTGACTTGTTGTCTTTTTTTATTCTCAAACGGTTCAAGTTCAGTTGGATTGAACTGAGAGAATCTGTGAATGCTAACAAAGATCCAAAAGCATTCCAGTATTGCTCTGGTATTATGTTTATAGGGTTTCCTCCAGGGCCACTCTATTTATCAGTTGCATCACTTCTAGAAAATTGTTGCACTAGATTTTGCTGATGGGCTCAGAGTAAATGGCACACCACGAATTTCAGATTTTCCGTTATAAAATATACTAAAACAATCTTCCTTCCATTGTGTTTTGTTGAATTGGCCCGTCACATGAAAAACAAATGAAGAGGTTGTTTGTTTTGCATTTTTCATACAGCAAGTTCTGTGGAATAATATTTTCTTTCTCAACTTTTCAGTCAGTGTTATCTTAAATAGAATGCAAATAGAAATGTGTTACTGTCCTATTCTAAATGTGTCCATGCAGGTCAGACTAATCTAATCCCTGCAGCCTGCAAACAGTACAGATTAGTTCCCAGATCAGGTAAACTGGTTTGACCTGTGTATCCAATGAAACACAGCATTTTAATATTAGCTGTCTTTTATCGCAGAGTGCACATTTTAAGCCTCCTCCTATCATTTTTTTTGTTTTGTTTTCATACAATCCATTTAGAGTTCATTTTGACTTTCTGTGTCCTCTCGGCGCATATGGGTAAGGCCGCACTCGTCGTCAGACTCTAAATCAGGTATTGCATTGCTAAACTTGCCGTGCATCAGCAGGGCGGTCACACAGTCCTCTCGCCCCTGCAGGCCTGCCTTGATGAGGGCCGTGAAGCCACGAGGGTCTCTGAGCTCAGTCTCCACACCAGGATAGTAGTTCAGGATGTAGTTAAGGATGGTGATGAATCCTAAGGTGAGAGACAAAAGGATGATTTTGTTTGTATTCTCAAAAGGGTTAAAGGCCTCGAATTAATCGTGTGTGACTGGGATTTTCACATGTACCGGCCTGTGCAGCTATCATGAGAGCAGTGTTGCCATCATTGTCTTGGTGGTTGATGTCTATGAATGAGCATTTGTGCAGGAGGGTGACGATGTCCACAAAACCCTTGGACACAGCCAGCATCAGTCCATTCTGTTGCAGAGAAAACATAAGTCAAAAATATTTATCTTATTGCACGCTAAAGTAATACATAATTTCTTTGTCGCTTGCTTACTCACTCTGCCATTGATGTCTAGCTCCATGGCCTCCTCCTTGGTGACTCCTCTCTCCAGGATGCTGGTCAGGGATGCGGGGTCGTTCCTGGCGCAGGCCTCATATAGCGTTTTTGGTGGCTCCCTATAGACCGTGCCCTGTTCGTAGTCGGGAAGCACTGAGTCGTCAGAGAGAATGCTGCCTGAGTCAGAGTCATCCAGGAGGCTCTCTTCGTCATTCGATGGGCCAGAACCCAGGTGTGGGTCATCGGCTGCAGCTGCCATCTTGGCCCCTTCTGTCAGGGATTACGCCTGGGGGTGAAGCCCGCTGCACATCAGCTATCCCTTAAAGAAAATTATATATGAGCTCGATGTTTTTTTTTTTTGTTTTTTTATTCACCACAACCACATGCTACAAGAAAGACATGAGTTAGCTACAGTATGACTTCATCCCCATAACAAAAACTAAATACACAAATGTACGGCATATACAATTACAACACTGATATAAGACATTTTTTATCAAACAGCTTGACACCAAAAGGAAGTACATAATATTATTTTGTTATTTTAGTATGTTTTTGTTTTGTTTTGGTCACATCTTTTTTCATTTTCATTTCAGTTCAGATAATGCCACAGAGAAAGGAAAAGAATATCAATAAGAGCTGCCATTGTTTTTTTGTACAGAATTCCCAACCCAGGAGAAAAGACAAAGATGTTTGAAAAGTCTTAAATTGTGTTTTTCTTTTGGAGAAGCAGCAAAACAATATATAATCCCTCTAAAGGGAACTTATTTCCATGACACAGTTTCATTTGTTTTAATTTTTTTCAACCAGTTGTAACTTTTTAACTGTCTTTCAGACTAGATATTGACAAATGTAGGAGTTCATATGCTTCCCTCTCATTTCCTGCATTGGCAGGGAATCATGGATGGCTGGGTTAAAATGTTATTTTTGGAATAAAAAAATACAAAAATGACTTAGTTTTAAGGTTGATCGGAAAAGCATGACCGGCAGAACCAAATAAACTCAGATAAAAACAAACTAAATGCTGAGGGAATTCAACTATTAAGAAATGCTAAAAGTCACGTTTGCCTAGAAAAGTTGTTTTCAGGATAGACTTTTATCTGGATTTGGTTTGCAGAAAAAAATATGGAAATGCACCCACAGATATGGCAAGGAAGTTCTGGAGTGTAAATAAAATTGTCCTACTAAATAATAATGACCAATAAGAAAAAAAAAAAGAACTGGTAGTTCTTACATGAGAACTAACATGAAGAAAAAACAATTTCTGGACATCTCAAGTGGTGCTGATGTCATCTAATAATAGTAATCATTCGATTTCCTCTTGCCTGGTGTTTGATGTTGATGTTTCGTACTAAGAATAGACATCTCACACTGTAAGACTCACACCTACTATGTTAAATAGATCTGTTGACCTGAAGATATGATGGCTAAAGAGGATGAGGAGCTTTACCTCACCTTAGCCCTCCTGTCACAGCGGCTGATCTGCAAGTCTCTGATTTATACCAAGCATAGTATGAAATGCATATTTGATTGTTTTCTATACAGCAAGGACAAAAAATAAATAAATCATTGATGTCTGTACTTAAACATTAACTGAAGCATAAATGGAAAGAATGATGTAGACCTGAGGACATTTTGCCTGTCAAACTAATGTGAATGAAGGCATAGTGGGAGGAGGGAACTGGGATGAAAAAGGCCATATGGAGCTGGAAGCAATGGGAGGCCAGTTTAGTAACAGCATGTGTCATTGTCTCTTAACAGAGTCACACAGCTCTGCAGGACAAGACATTGCTATTCTTGCTTTTGCTTGTATGTGTGATCAATTCCAATTGGGGGTATTCTGAAGGAAAGACAAAACAAGAAAAGTCCCCAAAAGTCAATGGTTCATTGATGAAAAAACTTGCATTTTCCCTGCTGGCTTATAAAGACCATTCCTGACCTTGACTCTGCCTGAATAGAGCTTCTCAGCATCCAGTTTTCAGCATTCAGCGTAAGTTCCTGAAAATTATTGTTGTACTTTAACTCTGACTCAACTTCCTGCTGAGCAACACAATCGGACCAAACCTGTGCCCCTGCATCTTAATAAACACCTTAATAATCAGTCGCTTTCAAAATGCAAAATACTGCATAAGCCAAACAGGAATTAAAACTTTATAAGACAAAAAATTAAGATCTCACCTAAAGGATTCCAGCCATGGTTCAGTGCTCTTCTTCTTCTTCTTCTTTTGTCGTAGATTTTTATCTTTTTCCTCGGGTGTCAAACCATCTTCTGCCCACTCTTGTTGTTTGTGCACAGCAGTGACTGGTTAAGGTTACGTTCCCCAACCAGAACTCAACTTCTGCCTCCTCCCTCCCTCCATTTCTCCTGCCGGCCACTTAGGTTGCCTCATCAGCCCGGTCCTAACATAGACTCCGCTGTCCTAAGTCAGGCAACGTGCTCTCTCCCTCTCATCCTGATTACAGAAGATTTGCGGATTAAGAGAAAGAAACAGACAGAAGCCAACCTTGCTCCCCCTGCTATCAGTTTGTTGAGTTATTCTGCTCTTTCTCTCATCTTCTTGACTCTCTCACAGACTCTGCCTGTCCACAGCTCTGAGCTGCCCGTCTGTTGTGTGACAGAAAACCTTGCTTGGTGTCCAAAAAAAAAAAAAAAAAAAAACTGTTCTGACTGAATCATTAAAGCTACGGGTCTGTAAAAAAAATTACCGAATAGCCCCACCAACCAGAAAAATACAGGTTTATTCAGAGAAATAGGAGGAAAAAAAAAATTTTCTGATGAAAATTAATTTGCTGGGGCAACAAACGTTAGTCAGCCAGAGGGCCTCAGAGGTAAATGCTCCCATAACAGGAATGATAAGTCTGTAGAGTCCAGATCCTTACATGAAGGTAAAAGCTTTAGTTAAACCTTTGCAGCTTTCTGTGATATTTATACCTTTTAAAACAATTATTTAACTTAATCTTTCCTTTTGTGCTTTTGAAAGGATTAGTGTTATGTGGACTGAAGCCATGCGGAGAGAAATGTTGTACTAACAAGTTTATTCATAGCATCGATGACTCTTTCATGTAGAAAGATTAACCCGTATATTGAAAGGGAACAAGGCCAAACTAGGCTGCTTGTGTATGTCATAGTCTGTTATCCAATACCTCGTCTCTGTTTGAGGGAATGTGACTGCCCCCTCCTGATCAAACTAGAGAATGCAATGCTTGTGCATGAGCCCAGTTTTTACAAATACGCTCAAGGGCCAATTTATTAGGTGCTCCTTTTCAATTGCTTGTTGGGGAAAAAGAGAGAGGTCGAAAGATGATCGAAAAGCAACATCAACTCGTAGCTACAACACTGTATCTAACCTCGAAGCAGATGAGCTGCCGCTTTAAAAGACGACAATGGCTGCAAAAAAGGAAACTGAAGCTACATTTGAAGGTGGGTCTCTAAATACTAGGCAGCAACAATTTAGAAATACATCACCTGGTTTGAGTCACTCTAAATGCTAATGCAGATCTTTAGAATGTGGTGCAACAGGAAATGGATACTTAGTGGACAAGCATCCATTGACATAAGTTGACACGTCAAAATAATTCAGATGCCTTGCTTGTTTGCTGAATTTTAACTGTTCTGTATCACCTCTGATGAACAAATAAACTCATAAATGTAAAGCCATCTTTGCAATGTATCCAGCTACAAAATAACACATCGCCTCATATGGTAGTTGTTTGAGTCTTTATGAGTATATTTGATCACATCCATCCAATGTTTACACAGACTAAGTTCTCTAAGCTTGGAAAGCTGCATGCAATTATTATGTTTTTTAATCACCCAGAACGCTACCCTATTGGCTGCCTCTACATCATCATACCAACCGATCCATTACTCAAAAGGTGATGATCTATGTTTAGACGCAAGAGCCTCTGCTGTGTCCTTGCTGATATGAAACTCAGGAAGAGTGAAAAGCGGGGACGCCTAGGGGGGGCATAGATTACATCGCGAGGGACCAAAGCAGAAATAAAATTGACAGGAAATATCAGGGGAGTCTGTTTGGCATAGCAGGGCGGGGTTTTGGGATATTTTTCCTTCGTGGAGAACCTTTTAGACATGCCAGAATAGGCAAGCTGACCCAACCAGATGAGGGCAGCATTGCTCATTCTGCACACACTGTGTTTGTTGACCCCAGAGCACAAAAGCTTTAGCTGCTTTTTTTTTTTTAAACCAAGAAAATAATCACAGAACATTTGTATCTATTAGACGACATTTTATTCCGGGATACACCTAATGAAAGTAATCAGATTTCCTTTTTAGGGTCTTGAGCTTTGTTTTCTTTATCCTTTAAATTCTTCTCAGAGACTTTCACTCATCACTTTAAAAGGCTGCTTTTCTTCTCCCCAGACACCCCGGTACCCAGCTGAAGTCAGATGCGGAGCAAAAGAACTTTAAAAGAGGCTGGAGACAAAGTGAACTAAGTTTAGCCAGCTTAGTGACTGATTGTACGGACACACATGTGCTCGGCTAATATTAGGCCGCTGGCAGTCTCTCCGGGGCTGGTCTTAGCAGTAGATCGCTCAGACTCTGGGGGCTATATCATTTCCGTCCATGTGACTGACGACAGACCCTCTTCATGCTGTGTTTTCTGAAACCATCCAAAAGGAATCAGGTGAATGAAAGGAAGCAGGAAGGAAGCAGAGCTGAAGTCGCTCATGTAGGACAAGGAGGTCTGGGCTGATGTGTGGGAGGGTTTAATAAGGAGAAATTGATGTTGCTGGCTTGTGCTTTGTTCAGGCTGTCCGGAAAGTTTGCAGCAAGTTTGAAAATGTACCAAGAGCATAATACTGCAAAAGAAGATCCCATATTACTAACTATATTAATGAAAAAAAGCTTTATTTTGGTCTAAATATATTCCTCAAAATGAATGTTTCAGTATTTACTGCAGAAAAAGTAGATTTCAAATGACTGATTGAGCTAAACCAGTCAAGACTAAAATTTGTCTTTCAAAATCAAGCACAACGATACTATTCAACATCAGAGTTTCAGTATTTATTATTATAGAGAGCATATTCCATATTACTAGCTGAACTCAACAAGTCCCATAAAAATAAAGGATATTTTGGGATTACAGGTTAGGTTTAAGACTAAGGTGTGAATTAAGCTTAGGTTCGCTCTGGGGTTAGGCATGTACTAAGAATGGCTTAGGGTAAAGGTCAGGTGAACTGAACTGAATAAAAAATGAATTGAAGGAAATGCAAAGTTAATACAATACAATATAGACCCTCTGTAAAAGCAAAGCGCATGACAAGTGGCTGGTTTGTCCTGGACTAATGCAAAAGTCCTTGTGACGATAGAAAGACATACTATCTGTGGGTGTGTGTGTTTGTTGGTGTGTGTACCTGATTGCCTTTGACTGACACAGCAGCCAATCCGGTTAGTACTCGACTTCCTGCTCAGACTCACACGATACTGAAGACTTTCACTGGCAAGATAAAAATACATTTAGAACATGTTTTAGAGAAGTAGTTTTGTGTTATACCTGCAGGGTGTCTGGTAAACAAAAAAAAAGAGAAAAAAAAAGCTAAATGGTGCCACTGTTCATACAAAATGTTGCGTTTGCGTCTTGCTGAAAATAATCTAAGACATTTTAAAGGTTGAACCTGAGAATGTCTAATTTTGCTGCAAACACAGATTTCTAAGAAGTTGAAACTGCTCGCTTCTTACCCCTAAATTTAAAACGTGTTATTATGAAACTCTCTGCTGACAGGAGTATTTTCTGCATCTTCTCAATGCCCACAGAAACTTCAGAAATAAGCTAAATACTCAGAAACTTTGGTTTTCAGTATTTTTTCAGAAGAAAGTTATTTCATGAGCACTGTGTGGTCACCTTTATCTTTTAATGTAAAACTATTGCTGATGTATAAATTTGTGCACATTGTACTTCTCAGATTTCTCACCCTATTGTCAATGTAGACTCTTTCACTTCAAATAATTTGATTTGATTTAATTAAAAAACAACAACAACAAACTGATAACCTCAATTTGCTGTCAATAACATGGCCTATGCAAATATGCAAACATTGATTGTTTTTTTTTTTTGGACTCTTCTCAAAGCTAAAATAAAGTCTTTTTTGTAAGCAATGATCTGGTGACATTAATATTTATCTGAGAGTAAAATGACTCAAAAAGGTGCTTATTTTTGAAATCTCCAAATCCATAAAACTCACATTGCTGTGGCTCAGAAGCTCAACATGAACAAAGTTAGTTTGCCTATGATGTAAATTAACATATTCTCTCGTTGAATCTTTCACTGCTCACCTCTTACAGACGACAAAAAATATTTATTGAAACTTTAAAATCAGATCAGCACTTCAAGTTGGTGCACATGCCTCCTGTGGTCTTTGATGATATTTGGGAAATACGACTGCTGACCCAGGATGTCCTTCTGTCTCCGGACAGCTTTAGTTCTCCAACGTCTGAGGTTTAAACAGGCCAAGCCGCCTTCAAAATGCTGAGTAATAAAGCTCTAATCATATGCTCCAGTGTGTCTTGAGTGTGATTAATAATGTATGGCAAATAATTTATTCCTCGACAGAAATCATGACTTTTTAATTCCGTGGCAAGAACGGTCTTCAGTTTATCATGCTAGAATTAAGAGCTGTTTTGATGTAATATGGGTGTAGTAGCTTACATTCAGTTCAGTAAGTTTCATGCGCGTGCAAATTCCCTCAGGCCTTAGTTGGGGTTTGGCCTTACAGATGAAGAGTTCACACAGTCGACGTGTTGCTGTGTGAGGCCTGGGCAGATTTGTTGACAGTGCACCTCAGCGTGATATAGTTAAATTGAAACCCAGAACAGAGAGATAAATAAAAGAGATTGATTTTCTTTGATTGAGGGCAGAGTTCAGGAAGTAAAGACAAGAGGGATGGGGGGTGAGAGGAAAGGAGAGGGAGAATGATGGCAGGAGGTGAGGTTTTTGGGAGGGAGGTGATCTTCTTTGACCAATGGAGGATAAGTAAGAAGGATTTCAAGGAGAGAGATGTGAAAAGTCACCATTTTCATTTTCCGACTTCAGTGAAGTCAAAATAAAGGGTAGCCTCCCAGACATAATTACTCAATAATGAAAAGTGTCCTCTTAAAGAGAGCTGACAAAGAGGACTCCGGATTCACACAAGGGGGCCCTTTCGAATCTACCGGTCTCGCCGGTAAAAGCTTCCACTGACAGGACGAGGCAGACGTTCACTGAACTCCGGCAGAAACAGACTCACCTCTCTGGAATGAGAAAGGGACAACTTCTGAAGGCTTCTGTGGAAGTGTGCACTCCCAGGTCCGGACAAACGTAAGCACCCCTCCTCTTCCTGGATAAGCTGCTCTTATGCTGTGGGCTCCAGTGTAGGACGAGGTGGGCTCAGCCCCACACTGTGGCACAGCCTGAGAGGAGTGAAGGTTGTTAGGGGAGCTGAGGAAAAAGATGAAGT